CTTTTTTATAATTTAACCTCAATTTGAAGTTATTAAATAAAAAATTAGCAGCGTCTGTTTGTCTGTCTTGAGAAGAGAAAGCCTTTTACTGCATTTAGAATTTAAGAAATTTGTTTTGTTTTAATTAAACAAAAATAAGCTTTTTATAATTTTAGAATTATGAAAATTTAATTTTTTTGCTTCTCATTTGTAGCCCATTCACAATCAATTACTTTGTAATTTACTTTTTAACTGCTTGCGCTAGAAGCTTTTACATATTCTGTCAGCAATGTATTCATGGGCAAATATGTCATTTTTTTTAGATTAAGCCATCTTGCAAGATTAGAGTAGCTCAGTAATATAGTTTGCAAGTCTTTTTGAGTTGTTTTCTTCAAGTAAAGCAGTAAATCTGTCTGATTTGTCGTTCTATTACTGCTTTCCTTACTAATAAGAAATCAAGTATTTTATGATATTCTTTTTGTATGATTTTTTTTCAGGAAGTATAGGGCTTATGATCCTAAATAATGGCTCATAAAGACATCTAGTTCTTTTATTTAACTAATTTGGAGAGTTTGCTGAGCTGTTATTACTCTTTAATTCGTTGCCAGCCTCGACATCTTCATCACTTGAGCTAAGGCTGTTATTTTTTTATAAGGAGTTTATTTCTTTTGAAGACTTTTATCTAGTATCCACTCTTTCCTCTTCGCTGACTCCAGAGAATGACTTGGTTATTTTGATTTTCATAATTTTTCTCGCATCAGAAGTATTTGTCTTTGGTGATAAAGTATTCTCATTAACCTGAGAAATAAAGTTCAGAGTAATTTGTTGACTGTTATCGTCTGCGTGAACAGTTGATTTGTTTGATGATTAACTCTCATTTCCTAAAAAGTTGAAAGAAGAGGCATGTTAAGAATTACTAGTTAAGTTTTAAAGATTGTTAGAAAAAGAAACATTATTTTATAAAGCTTAATTCTGTGGACTATACATTTGATTACTATTTTTTTAGAAGTTTGGTTATTGATCTAGCATGTTTTATTATTACGCGAGTTTATTTATGTAGTTTTATTAAGCATTTTACTACTAAAGCTATATATTGTTTTAATACTACTGCAAATATTACTGTAGTTGTAGTTGTTATTATTGCTGCAATTGATAATTTTACATTTATACAAGAGGTCCTTAATTGAATTATTACGATTGTTGTTATTGCTAACCAAGAGATGCAATCTATGGAAATTAGTGCTATAATTAGCTAATCACAGGAGCATGTGCCATATATTAATTGCTCTAAGAATAATAGAGCATTTCCTATTCTCTTTTTTTATAAAGAGATAGCTCTTTTTCATACTAAACCAACTTTTATTTAAGTAATTCATTTTCAATTGAACTAAATTGGTTAAAATTTGAGTAATTGTAACTATTTTATAATGGCTGAAGTATCTGAGGTTAGTTTAAAGCTAACCAATCATTTTATTGGAGTGGTTATTATTGTTATCTCATTTTATTTATCTTTTTATGAGAAAGGCTTTTTAGTTTTTTTTATCGAAATATTAAAAAATGGATTTTTTTTAGTGATATTTAAAATTATCGAGTTCTTGAAGATTAATTAATTATAAATAATTAATCAATCTCCTTTCCTTTTGTTGATGAATACGTAAAATACTTTTAATTTACATATTAATCAAATTTATTATTTGCAGATCAGCTGATCAATTATGTCGAGTAAAATAATGCACACTTATTAAAAAACAGTTATATCCATCAATCAATTGTAGTTTTTTCTATAAAAAAATGTTAATGATTGTGTGAGGTCTCGATGATTTAGTAAGGATAAATATAGACAGCAGATAAAGCAATTATATTTGTAACATTTTGCATAAAAAAATTATAAAGCAAACAAATTAATTAATTCGAAGATCGTTATTTACCAATATTCTGATTAATCTTGGTTTTGATTGTTTTTACACTAATTCTTAGTTAAAACAAAACCACAAATTGTCCTAATATTATTGAAAGCAGTAATAGTTTTATATTAGATGTTAATGTTTCCTATTTAAACAGAAAGATTCTTACAATTCGTATAATCATTATAATTCGATAAATAAATAAATGATTGATTTGCTACAAAAAAATTCTTTCACTAAACCTTTAGCAAATATTCTCTTATTAAAATATATTTTAAATTGAGTAAATTATGTATATTTATTAGACAACATTTTAATTTTAAAGTTTTTGTAATCTATCGGACCATTAGCAAAGCGCTTGATACTTTTTTTTATTAATATAAGGCAGCATCTTTTTGTCTTTTTGGTTAGTTATTTTTCAGACTTATTTACATTATTTATGTGAATATCCTCAATAGTTTTTTTATCTAAAAGAAATACTTGATTTTAATCAGACTCGATACTAAATTGTTTGAAAATTACAAATATTGCTTGGTATTCTTCTTTTGATTATTTAAAAATAGGATATAAAGAAGCAAATTAAAGATAAACCCCACTCAGTTTGCTTGTATAACTCAATTATTTTATTAATTCAAAATATTTCGCACTATTTTTTCAAAATTTGCTTCTTTTAGTTTGATTATAGTCTCCTTTTAAAATAGAAAGTTAATAGATAACCTTAATCATCTAATAGCTAGTAAATAAGATATTTCGTCTATTTTATATAAATAATCTAGCAAATCTTATTTTTATTATGTTATCATTTTTTTGTAACTTCAAAATGTTCTTTTTCCATTTTAACTTTTTTCATCTTAAATTTGCATAAATTCGTTAAGTCTTCTACATGAATGGTTACAAATTAAATTAATTCAAGTTCTATCTTGATCATCCAATCAATTACTCTTAAACGGTTGATTTTTCAAGAAAGGATATATTCATGCAAATTAATATATTTCTTGATTAGATTAATAAAAAATTTACTATAAAAAGTCTTTAATACGCACATAATAAATATTAATTCGAAGCAATTTAATCGTATGTTTTGTGTTTACTTTCTTTCTTCTTATTTCTCAAAAAAGATAAGATAGATAGATAGATAAATAAATAATTGAGTAGATATTATAAGACATACAATATTGAAAAACTTTGTAAATCTTAATTTTTCTCAATGAAATTATTGAATGGTAGGTAGTTCGACTCAATTAACTAACATTTAATCATAAAATTCTTACTTTGATATTTATTATTTAAGTAAGCGACTACTTTATAAATTTGCTATATACTTTATTCGATGATTGTACATCTTATCAAAGAAAAAACTTAGTAAGATCTATTTATTTCGCTTTTTAATTTAACCAAAATATTTACCCATTTTAAAAGTTTTTCTAAATTTATTTTTTACTTGTTTATGCTTTGCTAAAAAGAAAATTATTTTAAATTATTTTATTAGTTTGAAATGTATTTTATATTTTAAAAGTTCATCTATATATATCATTTTCCTTTCTAAAAAACCGAAGATTACTTTTTTCTTTTAATCTTCATCTCCATTCATTTCACCAGAAATTTTAACTGTAATATTATTGAAAAAAAGCTATGCATTTATTTATTTTTTGATTCAGTAGTCATTTTCTTACTATATAAAGTATGATGAATTTTATTATTTATTTAATTACAGCTTATTTTCGTTGTTTAACATTTTATGATTTGATTAGGCAGTTTACAAAAAATTGATAATAACTCTATGCATTCTTTAAAAAAGACTAAATAAATCTATAATTTATAGATTACTATTTCAATATCGTCTGTTAATTTACCAATTTATTATTTAAACAATTTAATATTTAAATTGAATAATTAAGTTCTTGTAGTGAAAATCCTTAAAGAAGTAAATTGGAATTCAATATATACAAATATGTACTAAATTGGATCAAAATTATAATATATTTAAATATATATTTCATTTATATTTACTATAAATCCTACTAAGATAATAGACTAATATATAATAGAGCTTTGATTTACTCAAACTCATATTTAATTAATTTAGCAATTTATTAACAGATAGATATATTTCTTTGAAATTTTATGAGATTATTTATTAATATACGATTACATTCAATTTTATCTGTTTATTTGTTCTTTTAAGCTAGCTGTTAATCAACACACATTAATAAATTTCTTTAATAAAAATATAAATGAATTATTTCTAAAAAAATTAAATTGGGTTTGAAATTTAATTGAAAAATCTATCAAATTACTTTCATTGATTTGATTATATTTTTAGTTTTATGCACACATTTTTTAATTAAAATTAAACAATTATCATCAATTAATTTATTCATTTATTTATTTTGTTAATTATCATCAAAAACAAACTTCTTTAACTTTAACAAGAGTCACAAAAAAAATAAAATCATCAATACATTCATTTTTTTACACTTAATATTACTATTTCACAAGAAAATTACACAATTCTTCAATCGCTTTATACTTCTCATAATTCACTGAGAAATGGAGATTTCTGAAGAGGAAGCAATCAAAAATTTGAATGATGTTAGTAATCTTTGGTTCAGCAGCGATTGTGTTGATATTAATCTCAAAAGTTTATCTAACAATCTAGCAAGTATGTCAGAAGAAACAAATTACAGCAGGGCAAAATGTCTTAAATATTAGGGAAGAAAATCACAAGAATTAAAACGCCCGATGAGTCAATAAAGGTAGTCTAGTGCTATCTGCCAAAGAAAAAGACACTCCTTTTCAATTTACTAAGATAATTCTTTTCTTTACGATTTTTAGAATAGTAATCAGAAGAATTTTAGTAAGCCAGCAAGCACAAATGAAATTTTGAATTACTCTTAATCGCAATTTTAGAACTCGATAGAGCACAGTAGTCGCTCATCATATTACGTGGATTCTGGTTCTTAATAATATAACAAATTCTTAAAAAACAGTTTTTCGAAAGCTAATGAATTCTTAGGTAATTTGACAGGTACAGGAACTTAGCAAACAAAGAGAGAATAATTAGAAAACTACTAAAAAATATTAGAAAAAGATAGGCAAAGTAAAGAATAATAACAATAATAATAGTAATTGATTGTTTATGGTAACAGCAATAATTGTGAAAATAGTTATTAAGAAAGTGAAGGTAGAGTGGTTCTATCATGCATAAAAAATAAAAACAAAGAAAAAAAAAGCTTAGATCAATAATAAAGATAGCTCCAATGTAGAACATCAGTTAATATAAGTCAAAACAATAGTAATAGTGATATAAGCAATAATATTTTAAATACAAACTAAGCAAGTAAAAATGACATATTTTATAGCTCATAGACTAATTTTAATTCTCAAAAAAAATAATAAACTGCCACTTAAAATAGTTTCAGGCCTTCAAAGAATTCATCTCACTACTTCTAAAAAGTTTTAGATAAGTAGTAAAACTAAAAAAATTAATGCACTCCACAAAACTAACTACAAATAAACTAAAAAGAGAATTTGAATCAATCGTTTGTTTAGTCTAATAACCAAAAAGATGAAAACAATATCAATAATAATAAGCCATAACTGACTTCATATAAAGCTAATGAATTTATAGAAAACTGCCCTTAATTTTTAGTAAAATTGAAAAGTAGATTCTCTCGAGCCCCTAGCTTTTACCGTAAAAACACTCCTATAAAAAACTCAATTAGCTAACAAAATAATAATATTAGTATTAATCCTTCAAGAAAAGATTTACTTGTTGGGAATGTCCTTAATCCTAAGAACATCTACAACTAAAATAATACCTAAAATTAAAATTAAGATTAATAACATTTGTAAAATAGCTTCTATTCTTCTAACCCTACTCTTTCATTTTTATAAATTATACCCACACAAATAAACAACTCTAACCAGAATAAAAATAGCACTAACAAAGTATGGGTTAAAGGGAATTGATTTTTACATCATATAAGCCTACAAAAATTTTTAAATAAATTTAAGAGTTATCCTCTTTGTATATACATCTATCTATATAAAAATTTTATTTGTTTTTTTAAAATTAATTCCACAAACATTTTTATTTTTTATTCTTTTTCCTGTCAAGAATTTAAAATCTCTTAAAAGTCAATTTAAGTATTTGTGTCACAACAAAAAGGCGTTAGATAATATTTATTTTAATGATTTTTGAAAATAATTTTATTAATTTTAACTATCGTTAGCCTTCTCAACAATAAATATATGATAGGTATTTTAAATTGATCTTATCTATAATTTGTAGCAGAATTTCATAAAGTTTAATCTGATCTTGAGCAGCATAAATTTCTTGAAAATTAATTCATCAATAGCAAATGAATTATAGTCTGCTGATTACTGAAGGATTTTTATAAACAAAGTTAGAGTATCAGTATCTCTATGGATCAAGAGTTTTCTATCAGTTTAAAAAATTCAAGAAAATCTGTAAATAAATTAAATCTAAAGCTTTAATTTCTATTATCTGTAAACAGCATTTATAATATTCTAACCAAAATTTTTAATATTGAAGTAATAAACAGAAAATAAAACTGGGATAATTATTCTTAGAAAGTACAATTTATAAGAAATCAAACATTTATTCACCATAAAAAAAGCTATATTCAATTATAAAAAAAAGGGTTTAGTTTTTAAAAATTTAATTA